TCTGCTACAGACAGCTTGATCCAGAAAAGTTTATGAACTCATCGATAGGAAACTGGAAAAAAGACCCATGAACACAGGCCTTAGTTCATGTGAGGATATTATTACAAACTTAACTTTTGTTGGAAAGACAACATGGAAAAACACAAAAATCTCAGAGCACACATAGGATTTGGACCATACAACTGTTGAGTATAGTTTTTTGAAACAATTGCAAGGAGAAACAACTAGGGGAGGTACTTACCTGGATTCTCTATTCATGAATAAGCAAGAGGTGGCTTGGGACATAAAGGTCAAAACCAGCTTTGGTAAGAATGGCAGTGAGATTATGATGTTTATAGTCCTGAGAGAAATGAGAAATTCAAGTAGCAAAATAATGGTTTTGGACTTCAGTGAACTGACTTCAGTTTGCTGAGGGATCTGCTTGGCAAGTACCCATTAGGGATAGCACTCAAGGGAAAACTGATTTATCTTGGGCCCACTGATTTATTTTAAAAGGCAGTTTCCTCAAAGCAGTTCTTTCCAGCGTGCAGAAACTAAAGCAGATGTGACTGACAGAAAAATGGACAAATGGAGAACTCCTGCTTCTGCTTAAAGAGAAGAATTGCACAGAAGGTAGATGCAGTGGTGAGCTACCTCTTCACCCAGCCATCCAGTCATGTGGGGACAGAATTGGGAAAGCTAAAGGGCAGGTGAGGCTAAAACTATAAAGGGAAGTAAGGGCAAGAGGAAAGATTTCTATAAGTCTACCTGTAATGAAGATGGAGAAAAATGTGATCATATTGCTGAACTGACAAAGGACATGGAAGAGTCTGAGATACTCAATGCCTTTATTCAGGCTGTTTTTCCACCAGTGGAAAAGCAGACATTTTTCAGCCTGGAGAATAAAGTTTCAGGGATACCAACAGAAGACTAACATTTAATATGAGCTAATTATAAATCTAAGACAGATTCAGGCTCCTTTTCTCAGAGCACACAGTGAAAGCCATCTGTCCTGGGTTCAGCAGTAGCAGTCATGTTTCTCCTTCGTGGTAGCTGGTGCAGCGCTGTGTTTTGACTTCCAGCCTGGGAACAGTGCTGGTGATACCAATGTTTTCGGTTGTTGCTAAGTGATGTTTACCCTGACCAAGGACTTTGTGAGGCTCATGCTCTGCCAGGGAGGAGGGGAAGCCATGAGGAAGCAGAGACGGGGCGCCTGACCCAGGCTAGCCAAAGAGGTATTCCATACCACAGCACGTCATGCCTGGGGTGGGGGGTAACTGGGAGTTACCCGGAAGGACATGGGCTTCCGGCTGGGACTCGTTCCTTGGCCAGTGGTATTGTATTCTCTTCCCTTGTTATTTTCTCTTATCATTGTTGTCATTGGTGGTAGCGGTGGTGATTTGTGTTGTACATTGGTTGCTGGACTGTCTCAACCCATGGGAGTTGCACTCTTTCGATCTTCCTCCCCCTTCCTCCAGGAGCGGGGAAGGGGAAAGGCCCGGGGGGGGGGGGGGGGGGGGGCTCAATTGCTCTCAGCCCAGCACCACTCACTGGGAGTGAGTGAACAAGCTGTCTGGCTAGGGTTTAAACCACGACACCATCTATCTAAGAGTTCATTAAAAAGCCCCAACAAAACAGAGTAGAAGGAAAAAGCAGAAAAATCTGAGTATGTAACTGAATCAGCAGAGTGAAATATTTGAAATAAGGTAATATTTTTCTGGAATATATAGTTAACTCATGAAACTTTGCCACAAGATACTGAGATTAAAAGTTTTAAATCCGTCAACATTCTTAGACAGAACTGTGCACAGTCCTATTTATACTGGACACGTATTTGTAAGTAATACAAACCTGTGGCCTTTAGGACATACATCCTCACTGTTTCTTATTGCATCCTGATTTTCCAGTTGTTCACAAAAACTCTGCTGTGTTCTCATACAAAAAGTGGCAGTACCTACCATTGGAGAAGAATACTGTAATTGGAGAAAACTATTGCACTGTTACATGACTTTTACTTTATCTACCAGAAATGTCCCCCTGAACAAACTCTTGGTGTGTAAGAGGATGGGCAAATCTGTTTAAACATTCTTTCACCAACACAGAAAAAAAATCAAATACTGCATTACTGATCATCTGACAGTTAGACTTACAATTGTGGGCCATGTGTTAAGTTTGTTCGTGTAAGTGTGAACTCCACTTTAGGAATCAGCAGGGTCGTCACCCATGCCAAGCTGTTGTGATATAAAGATGAAAACTTCAGGGCAAAATCTCAATATGCCGTATGGCTGCTTTTGCTGCTCAATTCCATGAATTCCAGATCTGACACTGCTGGCTGCCTATGGCAGGATCATCCTGCACCAGAGAGATCATTGGTGACATAATGACAGGTAACAACTCGTGACGTTCTTTTTCTCCTCTGCCAGCAGGACTATTGGGGTCAAAGAGTTGATGTTTGTTTTGTTTTTTTTTTTAACCTCAATCTGTTCCTACTTGTTGTTTTTTGCTATTAGAAGCTTTAAGAATTTAGCCCTTTTAGGATTTTATCTTATGGTAAGGAATCAGCTCACCTAAAATCCTACTGACATTTGGACAGTGCCTGTTTCATTATTGTGAAGATGACCTGTTCATAGCCAATGTGCTACAACATGATTAACAGCTACCAGTAGAAAAAGAAAGGCAGCTGATGTGGAACAGGCTAACAACATTATTCTATAGTGACAGTATAAACAAAGGAGGAGATAGTGAGTTCAGCTGACTGTAGCAAATACCAAGAGTGTAACTGTGCACCTGACTGTCCTCTTTTAGTGCAGAGCCCAGATCCTTTTACTGACAACACATCTCCGTAATTCTAAAAGTACATTTCCCAAGATAAAGTTGAATCACATTCTGTCTCATGGTAATCTTAATACTGAAGTTATCCAATGAGTGTTCTTCATCCTGTCACCATACCCTACAAATTTAAGGGAGTTTAAGCTTTCAATCAAATCACGGAATGGCACTAAGTGGCACTGTAGCTTGATCTCAATCACTTTGCTGTAAAGTCTTGTTCTTCTGAAAACGTAACTGAATATTCAATATATTCCTACAGAATAAACTAGCCACTTAACTGATTCATTTTCCCCAGCTTATGTCAAAAAAGCCTCTATGAATTGCCGGTTCCGTTAATTAGTAAATGGTCTACAAATTTAAAGCTGCTGTATGCCTTAGGTGACCTCTAAGATTGGTTGACTCTTTGTCAGGAATTCTTGTCTGAAATTTTGAGACTGAAAAGAAGCTGAAAATTCTCAGTACTATTATCCATCACCTGAACGTGCCTTTCCTTGTGTACCAGGTGCAGGTGCCCAGGTCCAACCCATCCACAGTCAAGGTGGTAGTTCCTTGGTGAAAACATGCATAAAGTTGAAATCCTGCATAGGCAGTGAGGAGTGAGGAAAAAAGTGTGAGAAACAGCCCTGTGAGCACCACCATGAGAGAAGAAGGAGGGGAGGAAGTGCTCCAGGCACCAGAATGGAGATTCCCCTGCAGCCTGTGGAGAAGACGATGGTCTATCAGGCTCCTGGCAGGAACTGTGTCTTTTGGGAGGTCCACACTTGAACATGGGAACAGTGTGAGGAGGAAGGTGGGGTGGAGGGGGACTATAATGGACTGACCACTGTCCCCATTCACCACCCTTTTGCGCTGCTCAGGGGTAGGGAGGAAGTAGAGGAGTCTGGAGTGAAGGAGTGGAGTCTGGGAAGAAGAGGGGGATGGAGGAAAGTGGCTTTATTTATGTTTTTGTTTCTCACTATCCTATTCTATTTTTAATTGGCAATGAAATTGATCAGTTTTCCTCAAATTGAATCTGTTTTGCCCATGATGGTAATTGGTAAGCGATGGCACTTATCTTTATCTTGACCCACAAGGTTTTTTATCTTATTTTCACCACCCTATGTAGGAGGAGTGAGAGAGCAGCTGGGTGTGTATCTGGCAGTCAGCCCAGGTCAACCCACCACAACATAACTATACGGATCTGATTTTCCTCATGACTACCCAGGTGCTTTAGATTATAGTGTCACATTGCCCATTACTGTTGTTAAGGTTACAGCCTGTCTAAGGAAAAGAGAGGTTGTCGGGGCAGGGAGAATTTGCTCCAGGAAGGAATGTCTGGGCAGCCAGAGCTGGGGCAAGGGCAATGGAGAAGTGGGCAGAGGGCATGGCATGCAGCAAACACTTTGCAGCTCCACCAGAAAGGTAGCTCTGCCTCAGCAGTCACAGCAAGGCAGATGGGATACAAAGGGGCTCCCTGGGGCTTGTACACAGTTTGTTGGGACCCTGAAAGCTACTGGGCTCTGAATCTAATCCTGAAAGACAAGATTTAGGTGAGGGCTACTGCAACCCAAGATCACCATCACGATTTGTTGATTAGCTCAGCTAACATAATCTGTTATACACCACTGTTTGTTAGGAAAGAGTAGAAATGGACTGTGTGAGAATTTCTACTGTATGGAATTCTTGTAAATGATGGAAGTAGTTGCTCATTGTAAAACATATTCATAATTTCAGTAAAATAATGTGTGTAGTCACAAATTTCAAGCAGAACAATTATGCAAGGTTACTTGCATTTCATTCAGGATTACGGGTTAATGTATAAACAGCTTTTAGGGTAGCTGTGACAAGATGAGTATCAAGAAGAAATACCCGGAGCCTCAAAAGAAAATTCATAAATTAATCTGAAATATACATCATGAGCCTTTTTAGAGGACAAGGGTAAATGGAAAAACTAAAATACATTGAGACAGCTATTATGATTTTAAAATGTAATGTTGTTATATAAACAAAACAGGAAAAAGATGGTTTTTTTTGTTAGTAATTCTACAAGGCAGATAAATGTTTCTGCATGGTAACATACATATCTGTACCTCTGAGATGCTCCAACTCAATTTTAACCAGGGATATAAAGAAAATACAGCTCGTAATAGGCAGCAGCTGCAGGGATATGTTCATTAGTTAAATACTGACAGCTTTGCCATTTTTCTTTTCAGGTTTGAACTGTGAGTTTAGGCCTTGTGAGGCCAGCAATCCCTGTGAGAATGGAGCTGTGTGCATAGAAGAAATGAATTTGGACGTTTTTCCCCTTGGATTCCATTGCAAGTGTGTGAAGGGCTTTGCAGGTCCACGCTGTGAGATCAATGTCAATGAGTGCAGTTCTAACCCTTGCCTCCACGGATACTGCTATGACAGTGAGTTCAGTCTGGTTACTCACTTTAATGTAGAGTAGTCTTTCTGTTGAAGAGTCTGTAGCTACTGAGCTGCTCTGGGGAGAACAGTGGATAATTTACTGAAATTTAGCTTATCTGATGCTCCACAGCCAGTACCAGAAGGATTATTTTTGCCAAAATGCTTCAACTCCTGGCACTGGTATTTCAGTGTTCAGGGGTTCAGAATTGCAGCTAATGAGAAATTTTAATGAGATTTGTGCTGTCTCCTTTGATACCTACATTAGCCAAACACATCTTACATTGTGCACTTGATGAGAGAATATTCAGGTGCTGAAAAGGAGCTCATGGAACAGTTAGGCAGTATATGTCATAATTCTGACAAGTTCAAAACAGCATTAAACATCAAACTGATGCAAATGGAGTGTCAGTTTACTGTTAAGCACCTTCTATAGTGTATAACTGTATAACTTAACACTTTCACTAATAGATATATTTAAAGGCTTTAGAAGCAACTTGATGATGAATTATTCTACTATATTTTGTCTGGATTGGGAAGCTAAATTCAGTAACATCTGTTATGTATGGAGTATTTACTGGAAAGTTTTATGGGGCCATTGCCACCTATCAGACACTTTCTGTGCTTGGTTAAAAAGAAGTAAAATCGGTACTTTCCAGAGAATCTTACAGTGCTGGCTGGAAAGGAGAATGGAGTCTGGAGGTCATGTAGTCAAATCCTCATGAAGTTGGACTATGAACAGTGCTAGAGCAGGTCAGTCAGGGATCTTTCTAGCTGAATTTCAAAAACCTCTAAGGCTTCAAAACAGCCTCTTCCACTGATGCACTACACTTGTAATGTTCCCCCACCTCCCAACCCCATCCAAATCTCCTCAGCTGTAACTTTGGCTATTACCCCTTATATTGTCTGACACTACTAAGAGGAATTCAGTTCTGTCATTTGTGTAATTGCCTTGAACCCTAATTCTTCTGTGAGTCTATGATGATTCTGTGGTGAAAAAGGGAGACAATTTTTATTATTAGCTTGTTAACGTTAAAATGAAGCTCAGAAATACATCATAGGTTGAGCAGACAAATTTAACTCAAGCAAGTTTTCTTTTAATATAGTGATATAAAGCAGTCCTTTCCCCCCAGAAAAAGCCAACAAAACAAACAACATTTAACTTGCCCATCTCATTTAGGCACAATATCAGAGATAAAATCTTATGTACTTTGTGTACAGTTTTGTGATGGAAAATTAGTAACTAGCTTATAAGATACCATCACTTTTTCAGAAGCTAGTAATGGGTCATTGATTTATAATTCTTATGTCAAAATACTTTAATTATTTAAACAAATGCAGTACCTGATCTGCTTTCATATTAAAAAAGTATTTTGAGATATTGCATTTCATTTATTTCAATATTTTAACATGTCCACACCCCTTATGTAAAGCCAGTCCAAATCTTTCTCTAGATACTAGTCATAACTGTAACTTACTTAATTCTACTGTATTCTGTTGTCATGCTAAAAACTCTTACTACTAAAATACTATCTCTGTTACAGTTGTGGATGGCTTCTATTGTTTGTGTAACCCAGGATATGCAGGACTGAAATGTGACCAGGACATTGATGACTGCATAATCAATTCTTGTGAACACAATTCTACATGCGTTGATCTACATCTGGTCAGTAGAGAGTATTTTTTACTTCAAATGATTGCTAAGTTTTCTTCATGAAAGCTAAAGTAATACTGTTGCTAGTTCTAAACCTCCACTTAATCCATACACCTGTCAAGAGTTTTATAATTGTGCTTTCCAGTTACTGTTGTTTTTTGTTGTTTGGTTTTGTTGTTGTTTTTTGGGTTTTTTTTGGTTTGTTTTTTTTTTTGTAATGGTACAGGCAGTGGGAAAGAGCAATGTTTTTATAATTTAAAAGCAGTTCTTGAGTCAACGTGGTTATTTGGGGAATTCAAAAGGAGCATAATATTTTTATCTAGGTCTGTTTATGGACTCAAAGTGACAGCAATACTCACTTACACTGAAAACATTACCTTCAAATGGGCTTTAAAAGTATCTTACGAATTGCCTGACTGGGTTTAAACCACGACACCCCCAAAGATGGATTTAAGTACTTCAGGATTTATTTTCAAAATTCTTCAGCTATATTATTTCTGAAACACGAAGAGTATTAAAAATAGCTTCTCAGAAATAAAAATGTTCTATCAATTAAGAGATTAGTCTGTCTGGGTGGCGTAGTCAGAATTTTAACATTTACGTATTATACAGGTTCTAAATACCATAAAATTCACATCCAAAAATTATGTAAAACACATAGTGAGCAGCAGCAGGAAGGATAACACAGTGTTTTGCTTAGCTAACTGTAGAGAGAAGCTGGAATGCAGCAATTGTATTCTAAATATTCTAACAGTGGAGTGCTCTGAGACTGTATACCAAAACGTAAGCACAAATGGTTATAACTGAGGAATTGCAACTCTGCCTGAGCTGCTCAGATAAAATCTGGGACATCGATTATGTATTCAGGTCCCAAATTTGTTCATTCAGTGAGATGGACAGAGCCTTGGGTGACTTGGTCTAGGTTAAGACATCCCTGCCCATTTCAGGAGGGGTTGGAACTAGATTATTTTAAGGTCCTTTCCAACCCTTTCTATTCTACAACTATGTGATTCTATGGCTAGGCATTAGATTAGGCAAATGTGATGATAAGGAAATACTATGTTAAATAGTGACACCCAGATATACAGAATTAACAGCTGATTTTTATAACATAGAAAAGTCATCTTAACAACACATCAACTCAAATAATATGTGGCGAATTATAAAATGCTTTTCTATAGAAGTATCATGGAAGCAGGAGTAATTTTATCTATTGCAACTTATCTGAGACATGAGTAAGAGGAACTAATCAGAGCAGACACTTCCTTCATTAGGTCACCTCGGCCAGCAAAAATTAAAAGATGTCAATATTAGTACTGTTAGCACAGCTACCTATCCTATATATTCTCAGTCATCAGTCAGCTCAACTAGAATTGTCTTTTTTTGTAGCCCAAACATAAAAATTTTAAGATTTTGAAAAATGAGTTTGATGCTGGGAAGGTTGGTCTCATAGTAGTTGCCTTTCATAACCATTCATCTTTTTGTTGTACCAAACTAAATAAATCTGATTAAGGTCTAAGTGTCTTTATTTTCACTCTAGCAAGAAGTATTTGGTGAGCCTTGCATAAAACAGTGTTAAATCTTGGATTTACGTTCATGTAGGTATAATTCAATTGTTCAGTCAAACTGATAGATCAAAATAATAGGATGAGAGAAGTATGAGAACTGTTGAGAGGCTGCAGTGTTTTCACTGTGAAAGAGAGAGGTGCAGTCCTCATGAACTGACAAAGAGTAAAGGGGTGAAGCTTTCTGCATTCACTGTACAAGTAATGAATAAAAATAGGATAAAACTGAAATATATAAAGGTCTTAATAAAGCGAGCAAGTTTTGCAACTGAAATTGGTCTGAAACAGTACCTAAGTTTAACTAAAGGTCAGAGCACATACTATGAATGGTATACAGTATGCAACAAGCGACAAGCTCCTTAAAGTTCCCAGGTCACATAAATTCAAGTTAAGTTGAATGTGACAAAGTTACACATTTAACTTAGCTGAGAGACTCCATCTGCTGAAACTGTGAATGTCCTGTTTGACAAATCAGTTTCAGATTACCAATCACACATCCCAGAAAAGAGCTATACAGCAGCTGGAGTTCACTTAAGAGACTAACAACCACAGCAGTACTTCTGCAAAGTACTGCTGCTAATACAACTCACTGTGCTGCCCTGAAAATTTGACTTGCCATACCTGATATACTTCATCTTCCACCTGTATTTAATTAAAAAAAATGAACAGTGTCCTCATAATCCTTCAATAAAAATTTTTTGAAGAAGATCGAGTTAAGTAACACCCTCCTCTTCCTTGTACTATAGGGCTAGTGGATATAGCAGTACACAGACTAAAAACTTAGTCATTATGGGATGTACTCCTTTATGCTCTAGTAAGTCCAGTTGAGTCAAAAACATTGGAATGCACAAAATTAACTATTGATTTACTGACTTAGGATAATGTCCTTAATATTGGTCTGTGTAATTATACATTAATTGGATAAAGTGATTATGATGTCTTATGTCGTACTCATCTAATTGAAAGTTAAAGTCAGCAAACAAGCATCAACTTTCCATTTATTCTTTTTATTTACTACATTATTTTAAATACTTTAACTTGTTGTTTGTTTTTTTTTTAAGAAATTGAGGACATATATGAAAAGTCTTAGGTTTAACCAACAATGTCAGTAAATACCACAGGAGTAAAACCCTTTAATTGTCTTTTTCAAAAACTGAATTTGAAATACTCTACAGAACAGAATAAAAGTGTTATAAAATGAAGGAAAGGGAGATTAAGAGAAAGTTAAAGGTAGGATTTCCAACGAGATGTGTGAACAGATGGCATATCAATGTGATAAAGATACAGGAAGGTGGTCCCAGATGGTGTGCTGTGAGCTCTGCCAGCAGCAAGGAGGCTGGACAGAAAAAATCAGCAACAGCAGGGAAAGAAGTGAAAAACTTCATAACATAAGAAACAGGCTGGAGAACTGTGGCCTGTTTTTGGAAAGCATTACCCTAAATTAGATTTTTGTATGATGTAGAGACTAATGTTTATTTGAGGCAGGACATGAAGTGGTTGTAACTTCAAAAAAGCATTAAAAGTCCAGCATCAGTATTAAAGAGATTTGAGACTACGGAGACTTCTTTGACTCATAAGGAAGATAATTCTACACAAAAAGGTTTAGCTGCAGAGAAGTCGATAATATATACTGCCTGTATTTAGTAGATCTATAGAGCAGAAAGTCACTGAGGGGTAGGACCCCACAATAGCCCCCAGTAATAACTCTGAAATCAGTTAAATAGTGAAATTTATAGGTTGTTATTTGGTCTTTGAAAACTGCTTACATACATCTTTACAATACAGCATGCAAGAATTAAGATCAAATTTATTTTTCAGTAAAAGTATGATGAACTAATTGATTTACTGTGGGATAAGTCTGAGCATCGGGACTGTTACTGAAAAGGAGCTCTCAGACTGTAATTTCACACCCCAATTTTTATCACAGTAAGTCATTGTCTCTAAAGTCAAGCCAGATGAGTCTGGTAGGAATATTTAAGCGTCATCTACACCCATTTCTGAGAGCAGCATTGGTCATTTTCTCATGAAAATTTTCTTTTTTGTGTGTGTGTATTTTGTTTTAATGTATTTTTTGACATTTGTCATCAAAAAAGCTTAGTATCTTGCAAATATTTAGTTTTCAGTTTAAAACATAGCACCTATTTGCTTCAGTTGCAGGTGTTGAGTGTTCAGCAGTTCTAAAAATCACACTTTAAGCTGAAAATTCAGAAAAAAAAAAAAAAAAGAAGGAATTAATTTCTACTTATAAAAATATACTTGCTAAACCAACTTCAGCTGAGTGTGGTTTATTTTAATTTTCTTAGGGCAACATTCAACTGAAACCAGAAAACTATCCCTTCTTCTCTTTTTTTCCAGAAAATTATTTCCCATGACTGCAGCTGTAGAGCAGACCAGTTTCCTCATGCTCTCTTAGGCACTGAATGAAGTGATGGAAAATTATTTAATCCATGTTGGTAGAAATTCTTTCAGTATATTTAGATGGAGAGGGGGTAAATCTAATGAATGATAAAACCCCTTAATTTGGGCATTTTCTAAGTTTTTGGTGTATATGATTTTGCAAATCCTGCATTATTTCTTTTCGCAAACATTTTTATATAAAATGCATGTAATGGATCCAAATTATTATATGGATGGGTTTTGCTATGGAGACTACTTTCAGACATTCATATAATAGATGTTTTTAACTCTTAAATGTGAGTAGATACTACATATATTTGCAGTAGTTTCTGAAAAGCACTCAGCCTTAGCCTTGCTCTGCTCTCACTGTAGCTGACAGAAAAATTGTTGTTAACTTCAGAGCTCCACTGGCCAAGTATATTCTAATTCCAGGGTCAGCTCTTTTGATTTAGTGGCAGACATTGATATATATTACATCAAAGGCAGATCTTTTGCTTCCCTTAAAAAAAGTCCATAATGGTATCTATAGATTATCTTCTTCTGACTCCAGGTTTGTTATCTCTTAGTTTCAGACAAAATATTCCTGTTTTCGAAAATGGTCTCCATGTGTTTTCTTTTTTTATGAAAGAAGAGATCCTACTCAAGTATGCCAAGTTTCAGCTGAAAGCAAATTTGAATATATTATCAACTCTTCAAGAACTTCATTAAGGGAAAAGCATCTGATGCTTAACTTTAGAAGCTGGGTGCTAATATGATAAACTGATAGTCGAACATCAAATAAAATCAAGTCTTCTGATAATCCTTCTCTGGCAATATACTTCACTGATCCTTTACTGCTGGCTGTGCCAATTATTGTACTGCGGCCAGCAGGGAGTTTGCTGCTTGAGCACCCTGAAAGCATCTTATTATTCTCTTTCTGAAGCTTAAGAACCCTACCAAGATTATCAATACCTTGCTGCCCTTAGGCAACTTGTGTGATGATCTTTTTATTGTCATCTTCGGTTGAATTTTTCAGAAATCATATCTAGGCTTTAAATGGAGTGTTGTCTG